TTTTTCTGAGCCCTGCCACTTTCCCATATTTCAGCTTTTTCTGTTTTTATTTCAGCCATTTGGAAATACATGGTGTCTCTAGCTACTGCCTAATACTTTTCCCTTTGCTCAACATTTACCAGAAAAGTGATTTTTTTTTTTTTTTCTCCGTAGAACTCCCATGTCTGCCTTTATACCAGTCTTAGCTATGGATTTGTTTATCCTGATTAGAACTAAAGCACATGGACTGCCAATACCAGTGGTAAGAGATCAAGTGGGATTTGGAATCATGTGTTTTCATTTTAAATTGCAATCACAAAGGTGTGCTTAAAATTAAAAGGCTTAAACCTTTTTTTACACTAGCCTACATAAATTTTTCCTTTGTGCAAGGATATAATGTGATTGGGTGTACAGAGACATGCTCCAGTCCATGCCAATCGCCTGAAGCTCCCTTGGAAATCAGTTATGTGGCTTGCTGCTGTTTTCTGTGCTATACCTTGTGGATCAATGCAAGTGAACAAAATATTATGCATTTCAGGTTTAATTGCTTTGCATTTTAAACTTGTCTAAAAGAGGGTTTGCTTTTATCACTAGGTTATGTACAGATTTAAACAGCGGTTTCAAATATTTATGYGCACAGGATACTGCTCTGCATCCAGTGGATATAAGGGCAGAAAAAGCCTTGGAAACAGCAAAGAGGCTGGAATATTAGCACCCTGGTATTTTCTAGCATTTTTAGATACTTGGTTCTGAACTATGGCACAAGCCTCCTGACAGCAAGTGAATAAGGAATGTGCAGGCTCTGCAAGCATGACTTGAGGCAGGTGCAAGGAAACATTTCCAGCTCAGTGTGGTGGTCTTTGCATGCTGTGGGTAACCTTTCTTTGCATGCTGTGGATAACCTTTCTCTCTCAATCCCTTAAAAGCGAGGAGCTTCTGGGATGAAAACTGGTGCTGAGCACTTAAGTTGGTTTGGTTTTACAGTGCTGACAAACTGCAGGGAACCTGCGATGCAAACAATAAGCTGGATTCATCTGCTTGTGCTCAGAACAGTATGGAGGGGGTTTCTTGCTGCCAAGAGCAGGACTAATGATTAGAGTTACTGCTTTCTAGTAGAAAAGGAGGAGTCTGAGTACCCTGTTACTTATTAGAATATGATATTGCTATAAAGGTGGTTCCACTTCCATTATTTGCAGCAGTGAGTTAAAATTTGAATGTTCTTGATTTTGTTGGTTTATGCCTAAAAATTCTAACACTATTTTATCAGTTTTGATTTAGTTATCCTCCTTCAGGGAGAGGATTAATGTAAGTATAGCTGTATTGGTGTGTACCCAGTGTTGTATAATAATGTGTGCCAAGCAAACAAGCAGGCTCTGTCCAGAACTTACATTCTAGTGGGGCGGACAACTACAGAATAAAGATGAGCAGGGCACAAATATGGCCATTGCAGCTAGTTTTACATGGGATGCCTAGGCAAGTGGCAGAAAAGGAAGGATTTAATCTTTTTCCAGGTATCTGAGGATTTTAAGGGTAATATTCCCATAGTTTGCCCCTTACTACTTTCAATCTCCTGAGCATAGCCTCTGTTGCAATATGCTGGATGTCCAGGGGATATAGATACCTCAACTTGCACCTTCCTTCCTTTCAGAATCTCTTGCAATGGTTTTGCTCACAAGTTACAGTCCCTCTCCCTCTGCCATTGATGCTCCATGTGGTCACTTCGTTTGTATGGCTCATTTAACTAGATAGTGCATCCATTTAACTAGACAGCGCATCCTTATAGAGCCATCAGGCACAGGCTCTAATGACTTTCCTGATGGATCAAGAGGCAAAGCTTCCGCTCATTAGGAGTTTGAGATGTTTAGTACTTTAAATGTTTATGAAGAACAGACAACCCTGAGAAAACAGTGTGTTCTTGAAAAGACAATGTGCACTGCCTTCCAAAAGCAGATGTGAAGGTGTCTCTAGAAGCTAACTAGGGTTATAACCAGTTTTAAAAATAAACTAGAGAGATTCGCCTATAATTGAGGAACCTAAAAATGAAAACACTCGGATAACATTTCTTTCCCCTTGCCCTTTACTCTCTTTTTGGTCAGAGATTGTGGAAAAAATAATGATAGGGATCTGTAAATATTTATGACTGTTGATTATATCTGACATGCTTTCCTAGTATCCACTGATATGTCTAAGAGGCAAGTACAAAACAAACAGCTTTCTCTGTGAGCACAGATATTTTACGCTCAAGATACCGTCTGCCGTGAGATTTCAGACAGGATTGTAGAAAACTTGAAAAATATTAGTAAAAACAATGTGTGTCAGGGAATAGCCTCTGTTTTTCTTTGTATTTCCAAAGTTGGTAAACTATGAGTAAAGAAATCGAGTGAGAGCTCTTCTCTGATGTCACTATTTAATTCTGTAAGGGCATAGTATCTTTAACTAAAGACCACATATCTTTTCCTGTTAATTTGAGTGGTGGCAATACCATTATTCTGCATAGTGGAATACTAAGACTCTCCTTTATGTAGCGAGTTTACTGTTTTGATATATAGGTATACTTTTAAAATATGGTGACTATTCTAAAGACAGCCTTTTAAGATTGAGATCTTGGTGCTCGTGTAACTGCTAACAAGGCTCCAAATCTACCGCTAGCCCTTAGCACTACCTCTGAACAGCTTAAATGAAATACTGCTCTTGGGAAGGGTAAGAGGATAATACTTACTTTAACTGCACTTTATTTGGTACTTGACAAAATGATCAGTTGTAGGACAATCATTAAAATCATAGGCTGTAAGCTGTGGTCCTTTGAAGTAAATTATATGTTGCAGGATATGTGGGTCTTTGTCTCTTATCACACCAAATGCAGTGTGTCTAAGCCATCAGGATTTTTCAGGTTTCCCCTTGTTTTCCTCAGTCTGCTCTCTTTAAATATAATGTTTTGACCAATAAAGAAATTAACCAGCGGAAATGACTTGTAGAATTAAACTATGCTTTTGCTTTGGGTTTTCCTTGTTAGCAGTGACTATATTTGAACTCTGATGAAATAAAGCAGTTATGTAGCTAGGGACTGTATTTCATCTGCAGTCTCCTTCAGTAGTAATCTTTTTGTTCAAAAACAATTGGAGGTCAGGTTGTGCAAAGAAACCCCACGATGAGTTAAATGATAAAGACCCAAAAAGGCCTGGAGCACTGAAGTCTGTGGTGTTCCTCTTCCATTTAGAGCAAATTACCTATTTCAGCGTCAAACCTCAATGGGGGTGGACATAAATTGTTCTTTTTTATTTGCTCTTAATTTTGTGTTAGCCACCCTACCTGTGCTCTGTGTATTTGCAGCAAGTGTGAGCTCTGCAGGATGCCAAATGACCACTTCCAGTGTTGTTTCCTCTGCTGCTCTGAGTTTTATTGTGTCAGCCCTCCTGGACTAGCAGCTGAATGGGCTGGAACCTGAGGTGGAAGGACTGGGTCAGGCTGAGCCTTCCTTTTTGCTGGAGAAGGGAAATGTGTGCTCCGTGTGGTGAAAAGGCATGTGAAGAACTGAAACAGTGCCATTAAAATGTGTTTTATTTATTTTTCTTTCTCTAAGATGAGAATGAATTAAATTGAAGGATTAAGGCTCAGGTTTGCACAGAAACAGTCTCACTTTCTTTTTTAATTTGCAAATGTCTCCTAAAACCCAGCACTGAGGTGATTATATAAATAAAGTAGGAGGTGGGTTTTCTCCTCCAGGAAGAGCTGTTCTAAGTTTTATTATAAAACCTGAGTCTTATAAAACAGCTTTGAGTGTTGTGGAGACCGGCTCATTAGAGATGGTGATTATATGCACTTGCTTATATCTCTCTTAATGAGTTGGGCTGTGTGATTATCTTGATGTGTATACCTTGAATTGGCTTCAAATATTAAAATGATAGGATTCCCAAATCCTGATTCTATGGAATCAGTGACAAAACAGGTTTCTTCTARTAACACATGAAAAGATCCATAACTGTTTAAGGATTTAATGATTCTAAGTTACAGGATAGGATCTTAGGCAAGGAAAGTTTCCAGTGAAACTATGGAGATTGCTTATCRGGGAATCATTATTTTAAAGACTGTCYTTGGCCCAGTATGGCATGGGAGTAGTTCTTTAGTGGAGTATCTTGTCTTCTTTCAGTTTTTATTATTTGAAAGGAGACTGGAAGAGGACAATACATTTGTCTAAATAGACAAAAATTAATTTCATCATGAACTAGCATTCCTCTAGTTCAGTGAAGTATGTGTGTCTGTGTAGATGCCTCTTTTTTGAGATGTATTTAAACTGCTTAGCAATGTCTCTTTCACCATGTCTGTTTCATTTTCAAGCACTATAGAAGTGATACTGTAGAGCTTCACAGTCCTACTGGCTCTGGTGGATCCCAGTATTTCTCTGTACATTGAGCAGAAATGCACCTTGCAACACTGCATTTACACATTTTGGGTTCTTGAAGCAGGCCTGCTAGATGCTTAGGATTCTTGACATGTGACACAGTAGTTCTAGGACATTATACAATGCATATTCTCAATTCTTAAGGGACTATTCCTATTAGTAGACTTTATAGGTAGGTAACCTCCATTTTTATCAGACTGTAGATTTTTTTTTCCCCCAACTTCATTATTTAAAAGGTCATTTCCAAGGTTGCCAGGTCTAGAATGACCATTCTTGGCAGCTGTCCTAACTGTTTGTTCATTTCATTAATTTTCTTGCTGAATCATGGATTAGTTTGGTAAAATATATACATCCAATTAATTCCTCAATGTAAGAAGCAGAGTCTGCTCATAAGGGAAAAGAAAAAATAGGCTTTCAAACTACACTTGGCAGATGCTTTGAATTGTTTTTAGTTTTCTTTTTGGTTGAAAATCCTTTCATCCTATGCAAGGAAGCAAGGTTTGGCATTCCAAGCATGCCTAGAAATTCTGTTGGTCTTTGTCTTGCTTGATTAAAATCTGCAGGAGTGAACAGTATGGGGAGGATTGTAAGGTCTCCTTCATTCCTTTGACACTGGAGTTGGAATGACCTTGTCCTGCAGGGGAAGACAGACCTACCAACTGCAGTGATCTGTAGCTCAAGCACCTGCTTGTGAAGATCAACCATCACAGTATCAGTCCAAGGTATGTTTTTTTCCCTAGTTTTCATAAGCTAATATAATTTTTATAACAGTACCTCTGTTCTGTATGACCTTAAAATACAATGTCTCAACCATCAAGTAGTAAYGTGTCCACAAGATGGCACTTTTGCTTTGTGCAACTCCTGGAGATTAATCACTTACCAGGCTGGCTGAAAAAGGAAATAAACAAAAACCCATTCCCAAGCTAGCCCAGTGCTACTCTACAGAATAAAAGCAAGGTCATTCATAAGAATAAGCAACTTACATTCTGTAGCTTAAAAAAATAAAAAAATCAAGTGACTTCTTTCAAACTAGCCTTTTTGTAAAGCAGAAATGCCTGTCGATTTGAAGTACTTGTAATTCTCTTTAGTCAGAAAAAGTTTATATGCTATCCATAAACTTGGGCAGGCTTAACAGCAGTAATAGTTGGTGTGATATCAAGTGAAGCAGAACAGGCAATACCATTGCCAACTTAATTCAGAGTAGTATATTAGGACAAATAAAAGAAAGGGGTTCCAACATCCCTTTTAGCAGAGAACTATAAATGTTTGTACTGGTCTTCCTTGAACAGCTTGTTGATTGCTCTTCTATGACTATTTTGGCTTTGTCATGCAAGTTCCAAGCTCTGTGCTCTTTGGTTATAGCAGGCTTTGGTACATGCTTCAGCCACCCCACTTATGGTTTCTGGATGGAGAAGGACAGTGTTTTGCTCAAGGCTGCTATAGCCACGGGCTGTTCACAGCCACTGTTTTGGTGTTTAGGTCTAACATGGTTTCTCAAGACACACAAAGTCAACGAAGTCTAATTTTACCACTGAATTCTTCATGTTACTGAGAACACTTTCAAATTTTTGAAGCAATATTTTTGAGACAAGATAATAAGATCCCCCATCTTCAGTGTTCTTGCATGCTATTTTATGCATTTCTTTCCTTTCAGAAAGGCTTTATATGGAAGGCTTGAGTTTACATTTGATTGCTTTGTAGGCTGTTTTCAGTCAGGTCATGTTAAGCTTTTTGCAAGATGCAATTGCCTGCAGTTCTCTTCCTTCCAATAGAAATCTATTTCTGTTTTTCTGGATGCTGGAACATCACTTGCTTTTTGTGACTCACTTCTGAAGTGTGTGGGTCCTGAATCACTAATAAAAATTTTTCACTTCCTTGCCAGTTGACTCAAATCCCTGCCTCTAGCTAGACTTCCATGCTGCACAAAGTGAGCACTTGCATCTCCTGGCTTTAATCAGGTCTATCCCATGCAAGGACACTGGAGGCGGTGGAAAAACACAGAGGGTAGCAAGAAGATAGATTAGGGCAACAAAACAGATGTTCTAGCTTTACTGAAAGCTTTAATGTTTGCAGTGACTTGYGTAGAAACATATTGCTCAGGGTAGTTAAGAGATGGGTCCAGAAATACTCGACCAAGATACAGTTGACACGGAAAATTCAAAGTAGGATTTCTTATTGCTCGTGGATTTGGGCCTTTGTGCATTTGTGGAGGCAGTGTGGACTGAACTGGWGGTGAGGGAAACGTCTTGGTTTCTGTGTTAGCTCATACTCATGCAGTACCCCCAGACTATGCACTGTGTTATTATTTCAGAGCTGCAGTAAGTTGCAGAAGATGTGAACAAGAACTGAGGCCAATTTTTTGAGGGAGGTTGTTTGTGTACCTAAATGCTTGATAGAATTCTGCTCTTTTGGTCAAGAAACCCCCTCCAGCTGTGGGCCGCTTCTGCTTGATGCTGGAGAAGAAGCTGCTTTAATGAGAACTGTAGACCCATTAAATGGCAGACTCTCAGCTCACGTGCTCCTCGGTGACAGAGCTGCTCTCTGAAGCCGCTTTCTGAGCTAAAGCAGCCTGACCAGCCTTTGCTATTAATACTCTATTAGCAGAAGCTACTTCTGCGATAGGCACCTGAAATTCACTTTTTTTTTTTTTTTTGGAAGTAGAAAATATTCTTAGGCTGGAATATTCTTAAACTGGAACACGTGAGGCTTAGAAGATCCCACACGGAGGCAGATGTCCATATGGTCCCGGGTCCATTGCACCCAATGGAGCTGGCAGTAGCCCATAGGGTTGACCCAAAGCCCTAGGGTGACATCCAGTGTGTTGGGTAGAGGGACACGACTGAAATGACTTGGCAGAGAGGGGCAGGGACATGAAGAGTTGGGGAG